TGGTTCCCGAAGGGTCTCCCGCTCTTTCCTTGCACTCCCTTCCCCGAGCACCTGATCCAGGGCGCCGCCCCATGCCCCGGCCCACGCGAGCAGGACCGCCCGGGAGGATGCTGCGGTGAGTGGCCGGGCAGGTGCCGGGCTCGCGGGCCCCGGGGACTGTGGCTGAAGGGCGAGCAGAGCGCCTGGTAGCTCCTCTGACTCCTGTTTTGGAGGGGGCCTGAGGGAGCCATGGGTGTCCAGGGGGGGAAGAGGGGCTTGCAGGCCGGACGGGACGAGTGGGCTGGGCAGCCGGGCTCCCTCGGTGGAGACCTGGAGCCCAGGAAGGCTGGCCCGCGCTCTCCCGCTGCCCGGGAAGGCGCGCAGCCCACTGGCCGTGGTCCTGCTGAATGCGAGCGCGCGCGGGACTGCTAACCTGACCGTGGCTAACCCCACCACGTCGTTCCCGATCGTCCTGCTTCACGGTCCTTTAAAATGGACACACATTCCAACCTCCTCTAACTCCAGGGACAAAATATGCTTTTGATCTCCCGCCCCGTGTGTGTCTTTGCAGGATCCTTAACAAACTACCTGACCTCGGCCAAGTTCCTTCTCTACGTGGGCCATTTCTTATCCACTTGGGTAAGTGAGCCTGTGCAGTCACCTTACCACACACTTGCACAATCCGGGTTTCCTCTGACTGGGGCCAGCTGTTTAAGCCACCCTCCTGTTGGTCGTGCAGCGAGAGACATAACATTATCCAAACACATGCTTTTATGAAAAAGTGCCCCCCCCCAGGGTATTTTCCCGTAGGGTTAGTAAATACTATTTAATTATCAGATTATTACACTTTATGTAGGTTGAACAAGTAGCGAAGGACAGCTTTAACCACAGCAGTAGTATTTGCATTGTTTGTCAATGGTTTGTTTTTTTCATTATCAGGCTTAGTAAGTGGTCATATCTGCTGCTAAGAATGAATGGCTGTCTCAGATACCTTCTATTCTTTCCTTCATGTTCTATTTTTTAATTTTCTTTCGTTAAATTTTTGTTTCGGCATACTGCACTATGAAATTACAGGAGAATTGCAGAGTGACGGACTTAGGCTAAACATAGCATCCTAAGGTTAATGTAAATAAAATGGACCCCCACCACAAATGTCTGAGTGATGAAAACCTGGTCTTTAAAAATGTTACCTGTAGGCAGGTATGGGTGGGGCCCCTCAGGCTATGTTGAAACCATCATGCGCTGAAAGTCATCACCTGACCCAGTTTTTCCTCTGACTTCCTCTGTGGTGTTGTAAGGGGCCCTGTGTTTCTGTGGGCCTGGGTTCTGTCCTCACCGCCCCAAGAAAGACTAATCCCAGAAGGGTGTTGGATGTGTATTTAACTCATGATTAGACTCTTTAAAATTAAGCAATTGTTCTTCCGGTTTAGAAGCAATGAGTCTGAGTATATTCTCTTCACACCTTGTGTATGTTTAAGAAGAACCGTAGGTAAGGAGAAAGAGTTTTGAGAGGACCTTTGGTGACGGCTGCTTTCCTTTTAAGTTGGAAACGTCTCATAAATGGTCCTGAAGACGTGCATGCCCACTATCGTAGGAGGAAATCTGCGCCCCAGGCCCTGGGGGAATGCTCAGCGGGGTTATCAGCTCCTGAAGAAACAGCAGCAGAGCCCGCCTCGCGGGAGGCAGGCGCCTCTCTTCCGAGGCCTAGACAGGGGGCCCGCAGGCACATGTGAGCACGGAGGAGGAATCCCGCAGCTTTCACTTCCAGTAGCTGCCGGTTCTGGGTGGAAGCCTAGTGAGAGTACTCTCCATTAATCTGACTCAGTGGTTTGGTGTTCCAGTTTAACTCAGTAAGTATGAAGTATTGAAAAAACACACAAAACAATCACAAGAGATGGAGAGGATCTGAAATTCTCACCTGTGGTCTGGGCCTGTCCATGAGGGCAGCGATGTGCCTCACTTCCAATGCCGGTACGTTTAGGGTTTGTGTGACCTTCTGTCCATGGGGGGGGGGGGGGGGAGGGGGCAGATTTGCCAAAAGAGCAGGACTGTGGTTCCAGGAGAGTTGTTTGGTCACAGTGTAAATTCCACAGCAAAGTGACAAGCTTATGGCAATTTTACAAGTAAGTTGAGCAAAGGGAGTTCTTGTGGGAAAGTTGTATTTAAAACAAGCCCCCCCCCCAAAAAAAAACCCCAAAAAACCAGCAACTACAGTCATAGCTGATGCATCTACATCTATCTATCTATTTCCCTGCCAACTCTGCCAAACCATGGCTTCCTGTACACTGAATATGGAGGTGTTACCGTAGAAGGTTATACGAGCTTAAATGTGTGTAGGGTTGAAAGCTTTTATTTCTGACTTCATTTCTACCTGCCAGTGGATCCATACATTTTCCTCTAGACCAGTGGTTCTCAACCTTCTGGCCCTTTAAATACAGTTCCTCATGTTGTGACCCAACCATAAAATTATTTTCGTTGCTACTTCCTAACTGTAATGTTGCTACTGTTATGAAGCGTCATGTAAATATCTGATATGCAGGATGGTCTTAGGCGACCCCTGTGAAAGGGTCGTTCGACCGCCAAAGGGGTCGCGACCCACAGGTTGAGAACCGCTGCTCTAAACACTATATCAAATACAAAGTAGTGTAAGAAGTGGATTCTATCAGGGAGCTTTTAATATAGGTTAGTATGGGCTTTAACAACTATATCTAATCACAGAAAGATAACCGGTAGTGAAAGGCATTGAAAGGGTTGCCAGTTGCTTCCATCTATGTCACCATCCTATGACCTGTCTCCCTTTATACCCCAGATATCTGCATGGCCCAGCCCTCCCTTCCTTCCGGTCCCTGCTCGTAGATCTCTGTCACTGCCTCATGCAAAATGCCACCTTCCAACCCCATCCTACCTTTATTTTTTTGGCATGCATTTACACTGCTTGACCTATTCTAGATGTATTTTTGGTCTTTGTTCACTGGGATGCAAGCTGCATGGGACCATGGACCTTGATTTTCATGCACTTGTATCTCTGGTGCCTCCGTAGTCCCTCTCAACAAGAGAGGAACTTACTGAGGAATGACTGTGATTGTTCACACACTGATATTCAGTGGGTCTTCAGCTCTTAGTCCACTAGGTGTAGATGGACATGTAAGCAAGTACGGCCGGAGCTTATGGGAAGGCAGGGAGTGGATGTAAGGAAGGGATGGGTGGGCTTGCAGTTGCACTTGGTCAACATTTACTTAGAGTTTACCCGATTTGGGGGCTTTGTGAGCATAGAAGCTGTTGCTTCTTAAAATGAAGAGGCTTTGGAAATTGGGGTAACTGGAGCAATTTTATTCCCCTCTATCAAGGAAGGGCCATGCCATATGGGGATAAGCAAGAGAGAAATTGCCTCTGAATAGCACCCGTTTTGATGCTCTGGAGGAATCTAAAACAAATTCCGTTGAAAAAAGATAGGAATAGAAAAACAAAACAAAAAACGAGGAAAAAGCAATAGTAGTGGAATACTATTTCTTACTCTTTAGGTTGAAAAAGAGGAAATTCACTTGTTGAGGCAACCTCTGATTTGGCGCATTTATGTGTTTTAGTCTTTTCCTTGGGAGCTGTTCAGAGGAATGGAGGTCAGAATCAAGTACCTCCTCTCTCCCATCCCATAATAATCTAGCCTGGAAATGTGTCCTGTGGTGATTTCCAGGGGTAGGTTATGATAGAACAGTGTTGTCCTGTTTTATGTTAACCTGTTAGGAATGGAGCCTAAAACATAACAAGGTCCATTATAGATTTCTTATACATTAATTTAACTGATTCATTGACAAGTCTGTCATGCCACATTTTGCAGTGGTGAATCCCCAAATTCCCTGTCTACTCTGGAATCCTATATAATAAAAGGCTAATATGCAAATAGACCGAACAGTGGAACGACTGGTTGCTATGATGTGCACTGACCACCAGGGGGCAGACGCTCAACGCAGGAGCTGCCCCCTGGTGGTCAGTGTGCTCCCACAGGGGGAGCGCTGCTCAGCTAGAAGCCGGGCTCACAGCTGGAGAGCATAGCGGTGGTGGCGGGAGCCTCTCCTGCCTCCGCAGTAGCACTAAGGATATCCAAGTGATGGGGAGTGGGCCTAAGTCATCTGTCGGACATCCCCCAAGGGCTCCTGGACTGTGAGAGGGCACAGACTAGGCTGAGGGACCCCCCCCCCTCAGTGCATGAATTTTGTGCACCGGGCCTCTAGTGGAGAAATAAGTAGTTTCTTTCCCCTTTCAAAACCCATCTTTGTTAAAGTGTAAAAATGGCTGCTTGCTATGCATTTATTTCTGATGTCTTCTTTTATGCAGTGCCAGAATTGGCACATACTAATTTCATCTTTCTGATTGCCCCGCTGTTTTATGACTGAAATTTATTTGTGAAGTGGAGCATCGATTTTAGAACATTAGAGGTACAAAAGGCTTTAGAGATAGTTCATTCTTATCATTTTACAAATTAGGAAACTGGTGGGTTTTTTGTGTTTTGTTTGTGTGTTTTTTTTTGGCATTCAAGGCACCCTACTGTTCGTAAGCTCTGCTCTAGGTTCATGCTGATTCAGAGGTAGACTACCTCAGGACAGGCCCTTCCAGGCTCGGAACCTGACACACTAGGCATCGGCTTTTGTCTTAAAACACCTTCTTAGGTCCGGAAACGTGTTCTTTCTGGAATGGAAAGGATTATGTGTGTTTCATTAATAGCATGTTCTTTCCGGTTTGGTTAGCCCTGGAGCCAGAGCAGCTTCCACTGTGGCAGGATGGACAGTCTTGCCTGTGGCCAGTGTTCCATCCATAGAGGAGCCGACCTTGAAAACCTCCTGAGGGGCCGGAAAGTGCCCTCAGAGAAGCAAGCCGCTTCCTGAGAATAACTGACCAGAAACGAAAACGGTTCGGCCACCATTGTCTCCCTCTGGTTGCAGGGGGACCGGATGTGGCACTTCGCGGTGTCCGTGTTCCTGGTGGAGCTCTACGGGAACAGCCTGCTGCTGACGGCCGTCTATGGGCTGGTGGTGGCAGGATCCGTGCTGGTCCTCGGGGCCATCATCGGTGACTGGGTGGACAAGAACGCCAGGCTTAAAGGTGAGTGCTGCCCGGCCGCGTGGCTCAGTGACTGAGCATGGACCCATGAACCAGGAGGTCATGGTTCGATTCCCCGTCAGGGCACATGACCAGTAGGGGGCGTGCAGGAGGCAGCCGATCAGTGATTCTCTCTCATCACCGGTGTTTCTCCTCCTTCTCTCTCTCCCTCTCCCTTTCTCTCTCTGAAATCAATAAGAACACATTTAAAAAAATAATAATAAAGGTCAGTGTTGTTATAGCCATGCCTCTGCATTCATGGACCAGCGCCTGAGCTGCAGGGAAACCCCTGTGGTGGCCCACTGTGCACCCCACTGAGAGCTGGGGGCTGGGCAGCACCTCCCCACGGAGGCTCTGGGCCCCTGCGCAAAGCTAGGGCAACAGGATACTGAGCTCATAGGTTGGGGGAGTACCTCTGGCTGTTCAGACATCCCACATGTCAATGATTAACCCTGGAGGCTTTTCTGAGAACCGTGTTAAACATTGAAAGTTTGCTAGTCTCTGGGTTCTTCCTAACCAGGACTCACACTGGAGTCTCTTTAGTGTGAGGCTCCTGGGCCAGCGCTCGCTCCCGCGCCCTGGGCGACTATCTCACGCAGAGGTGTGTGCAGGGGATTGAAAAGTGCAGATTCAAGAGAGCATGTCTGAGTCTGCCTCGCGGAGGACCAAGTTATACATGTTTTAGAGCAAAGAAAGAAATACATTCACATTTACTCCAGGGCATGGATGCTGACATCGTCGGGTTTCCATAGGAAAGGGAGAGCGTGGGTGAGCAGTTCAGGCATTCGGACGAACAGGGCAGCGTTTCCCTCAGCTGCTCCGTTGATCGTGCGAAGGCCCGGCCGTGTTTGTCTCGGATGCTGGGGGAGGGCTGGGCTACCATTTGTTCCCGTCAGTGTAAGGAGAGCCCCGATGATCAAATCCCGGGGCCTGATGCTTTTAGTAAAATGGTCAAGATGCACATCTTTCTGTTGTGAGGATTAATAGACCCAAACGCGGATAGAAAAATGTTTTCTATCCCCGAAAAGATTTCCTGGCTTTTTACATCATCATTCACAGGAACAGAGAAGTGGTATCCATGGGGGTGTTTAACCTATGATTGTGGCGCACTGACGCTGTAGGGCAGAGGGGATGCCGAGTTGGAGGAAAGCTGGTGGGCCAGCAGGCTCCCGCTTGGGTCCCATGGAATCAGCTCGTTGGCACCTCCATGAGAGTCTCCTCTGGTCTCCAAGCGGAGTTAACCCTTCTCCTTCTGTGCCCATCAGCCTCAGTTCATGCCTCTGCTGTGCTACGTACACCCTGGTGGTTACCTGTTCACCTGTCCATCCTCCCTGGAGCCGGTGGGGTCCCGAGAGCTAAGAACCTTGTTCCGTTGCTATTCGATCCTCGTGCAATCCGTGACTGCACCCATGGATGAGTTATACATCCGGGTTTTACTTCCAGCCAATTTCAAAAGGCGGTTTGTTGTTTCTTGAGGCTGTGATGTGGCCTCCCAAGCCAGGCTGCGCGTGGCTGTCCTTGAAGACGAGCTGTCATGACACGCACACACGGCGCTCTGTTTAAGGAGCGCTCGGTGAGCGTTTTATGGGAGCATCAGACTCTGTGCAGGAGGGAGGCAGGTGTGCGCTGGCCTCGCTGTCCAGACACAGCGTGCGGGACCTCAGCTCCTGCCCTGGTCCTCTCCCTGGCAGGTGGGAGAGGAGGCGCCAAGGGGTCCTCACCGGGCGTCACCTGTCCTGACGCCCGCGCTTCACTACAGGGATGGCTGCTTCCGCTCCGAGAAAGCCGCGTTTTCTGTGCGGGGACGGGTAGCGTAGAGCGTCACAGCAGTGACAGACCTCGATGCCAAAGGAAACACGTGCTGCCTCCCCCGACAGACTTTCACACGTCTCTTCTGTGTGCCCGCACTTCCTCTCTGATCAGGGTTGGCCTGTGCGGGGAGGTTACGGATCCGGGACCCCTACTTCCCCCTCTCACCACTTCCTACCTGTTCTGGCGTGAGCATCCATGGGTGAGAGAGCTGGGAGCTGGATCGCGCCTGTGTAATCTGTGTATCTGCCTGTGATAGTGAGCCTTCATGAGAATCAATGGAATGGAAGTGTGTCATTATGAAGGGCTCCAACTAAGGAAGAGGGATGGGCACTCCATCCTTCTGTCTGCGATGTCAGTGCAGGGTGTGACCTGGTGGCTGTCCTGGGAGTGGGGAGGCGGGATCCACCGCAGTCACGCTGGTTTTACTTCCTGCCGTAGTTGGCATGGCACTGGGCAGTGGTCCAGTGATGGGTGGGTAGACGCAGCCCGCTGGGACGTCCTGGTGTGGCCGGTAGTGAGCGTGGTCTCTCCCTGCAGTGGCCCAGACATCGCTGGTGATACAGAACGTGTCGGTCATCCTGTGTGGCATCATCCTGATGATGGTCTTCTTGCACAAGGACGAGCTGCTGACCATGTACCACGGATGGGTCCTCGTAAGTCCTCCCCGCCATCATGGCGGGAGCTGAGCGTGGGGAGTGGTGCGAGAAAGCCCTCGGAGGCCAGGGAGTGTCTGTTTTTCAAATGGGACCTTTTAATGCTGATCTCTGTGTTTACAATATCCCCCCAATTTTTTATTTTATTTAGTGGTTGGTTGGTTTTTTTGGTGTGTGTGTGTGTGTGTGTGTGTGTGTTGTATGTATGTATGTTTTGCCCATAACAGGTACTCATTAAGAGTTGTTTGGATTTAAATTTTGTCCTATGGGTTTTTTTCCTATTTGTTTTCAAAAGCATTTCTAAGAGTTCATAATATAATTCAGTTGTTAGTTTTCAGCCCATTAGTATTAACCTGTAATTCGTTCATACTACATAAGAAATATTATCTATATATGTTAATCAGTCATGATTGTGTTCTTCCAATAAAATTGGTATTTTTGGAGGCGGGACATGGGTTAGATAGCTTCTCACACTATGATTTTATGAGAGCTTCATGGAAAAGAGAGATGGGTCTGGTGGAAAGGGACGGATTTGATGTCACCATTGAATCTTCTCATGTATATTTGGGTCGATGTTGGGGAGTGTCCAAGCCAGGAATGACCGTAGAAATCTTCAGGTCCATTCCCTTTTTGTTGATGAAAAGACTAAAACAACACTTTCCCCTTAACACTTTCTCCAAAGGAGACATCTGTGGGGGAAACAGTAAAACGGCCCCTATGTTAACACTTTACGGTAACCGTCACGTGACTATCCATGTGACTAGTATGATTTTTATATGTGCTACGGGGGATACAGATTAGGAAGATACTGTGCTCTTTAACTGGACCCTGGGGATCTATGGTTTCATGTGTATAAGATAAAATGATTGGTTAGAATGAAATAAAATCACAGTTTGATTGTTATGCCACCAACGGCCATGTTGAAGGACGTTGCACGCTGAGGTGTAGGACCCTGACACTCAGCCTTTCCCTGTGACTCTGTAGACTTCCTGCTACATCCTGATCATCACCATCGCCAACATCGCCAACCTGGCCAGCACCGCCACTGCCATCACCATCCAGCGGGACTGGATCGTCGTGGTCGCAGGCGAAGACAGGAGCAGACTAGCAGGTGCTTCGCTTTTCTCTTTCCCCTAGTCAGCGGTTCTCAACCTGTGGGTCGCGACCCCTGAAAATACATCCTGCATATCAGATATTTACATTACGATTCATAACAGTAGCAACATTACAGTTATGAAGTAGCAACGAAAATAATTTTATGGTTGGGGGTCACCACAACATGAGGAACTGTATTAGAGGGTCGCGGCATTAGGAAGGTTGAGGACCACTGCTAGATGGACCATGTTAGGGTTCACTGTTCATCATTGGTGAATAGGACTGCGACCCTTCGTTTCTGGGTATTTCTTGAGGACAAATGGAAAGGATCATCTTTTTCTTACCACATTATCGGTCTCAGTGCAAAGATTTATCTCCATGCTACGAAGTTAATTTATAGGATAATGAAGAACTTTTTTATTCTATGCAGACCTGGCAAAAGGAAGAACATTTCCTTTGAGCGGTTACTTTTTTTAAAGTTCTGTTAATGGTTTCTAAATGTTCACTTAATACTTAGAACATTGAAAATGTCACATGGGGTTTTATTGGCTATACTATGGAGATGGTCACCAGTACTTACAGTCATACTGTGGATATTATTTTTCTCCAAACCAAATAGAAACAGCTTAATTCTAGGAGAGATTCTCTATGTTAATTCCTTCTCCTTTAAAGTTATAACCTATAACTTCTATTACATTATATCTGATGGAATATAATCGCTGTTACAAATACTAAGGAAATAGAGGAGTGAATACAGTTTTAGGAAGCTTATAGTCTTAGTCCTTCATTAGAAAACATACACAAGAGGCCACAGAAAGACTGAAGAATGCTTGCAAAGCTTCATGCCCTGTTACGTCAGCATTCCCGGGGCTCAGCATAACCTACCTCACTCAACATCCCCCACCTGCCCCTCACACAGCACAGAGACACCGACTGGATTGATAATGACAGGTGAAGGAGGAAGGCCACACCTATCTGCTGATCAGATCAGCTGAATCAACACTGAGACAATGCGAATCACAAACAGGTTGCCCAACCATCCTGACAGACAAGAAAGGCGTTCCTCACGCCTTAACTAGCTTTTCTAGGGCACAGAAGGCAAGATTAGTGCTGAGGTTAGCAAACAACTTTGGACCATGTGGTTAAAATAAAAAAGATAGAAAGGAAGGGGAGAGAGAAGGAGCAGAGCCTGTGGAAGGGCCGGAAGGGAGAGGATTTGCTGGAACCATCACTTAGGGGTGCAGAGCGAGCTGGGGAGGATGGGGCGCACAGGATGCCCTTAGCACAGGCGGATCTGCTGCAGGAAGTGCTCCCTGGAGCTGCAGTGGCCGTTCTCATCGAGTTTTCCTCCTGTGGCCATTTACCGAGAGGAAGTAATCCCATATCTCTTTTTGTCATATTGAACTGTAAGATAAGTCTTTTCTACCATACGAGTTTAGGTATGTAAGACATGTCCATGTTTTCAAATTCAGAGGGCATAAAAGGATATATTTTGAAAATAATATATCTAATGGAATATATTTGGGGGGGGGGGAGGGGTGGTTTTCAAATGATTTTCTTTCCCTTATCTGAATTTCTTAACTCATTTAGACTCTGAAGTCTGAATAATCTGTAAAAAAAAAAAAAAAGTATTGCATAAAGACAAAGTTACTCAGAATCTTTAATTTTTTTCTAAATATATAAACAAAACAAAGAAAAGGAAAGAAATAATACATAACTTTGTGGGGTCTTTTTGGCTGGGCAGTGATGCAGAATAACAGGAAATACATGACTGGCTGTTTCTCAGCAAGCTTCTTTTTTAAAAAAAAATTTTTTTTAAATTGAAATCAGAGAGAGAAAGGGAGAGGGAGAGAGATAGAAACACCAATTGCACACCACTCTCTGGGGATTAAGCCCACAACCCGGGCATGTGCCTGACCTGGAACCCAACCGTGACCTCCTGGTTCATAGGTCGATGCTCAAACATGGGCCACACGGGCGGGGCTCGGCTGTCTGTCTTCATGTTAGGACTTATTGCAGAGCGGGGAAGCCAGGCCAACCAGGCTGCTTTCCAGCCTCTGGACTGGAGTGTCTCAGGTTGAAGGAAGGAAGGAAGCTGCCCGCGTTAGCTTTTGGCCAGTGGTGCTCACTCGGCCAGCAGTCCAGCTAGTGGCCCCAGAGCAGGCAAAACCTACGCCTTGTCTTCTCTCAGGGTCTCACCCCGGGACTTGTGTTATAAGAACCATGTTTCAACACAGGATACAAAACCTTTCAGTCCTGAGGGCCAGCAGGGGTCTAACCATGGGTTTTGGGTGCTGTTTCTGCTTTAAGGCAGCGTTAAAGGACAACAAAAAGGGGTTAAAGAGCAACAAAAAAGGTAGAATAAAGGAAAAAGAGAAGAGAGGAGGAGGGGATTCCCGGCAGCTCTGAGCTTGTGTCTCTACACAGTGCGACCTCCTCCAGGCAACATTCATGCATGTGGTTCAGGCAAAGATTTAGGAGCCCAGCAGGCAGGGTTGTGGGTGCTCTGTGCGTGTGCTGTGCGTGTGCGAGCGGGTGGAGGGGAAGGGATGTATATAAAGAGGACAGGTGAGCTGTGTGCTAACTGCTCCCATTCCCTTTTCCCGTTGTTTCTTTCTTTTTTTTTATTGCTGACTGTATTAAGATGTCCCCCCACCCCTCACCATGCTTGCTCCCCTCCACCCAGCCCCCGCCCCACCCCAGGCCTTCACCGCACCATTGTCTGTGTCCGTGGGCTGTGCCTATATGCACACAAGGCTTTGGTTCATCCTTCCTGGTTCTGCCCCCCCTCCCCTGAGATCAGTCAGTCTTGATTTCCAAGGAGTTTTGAAGCTGGGAGTTTACACTGTGGGTAAAGACAGGAGAACATGTCTGTGGGGGGTTGAAAACTTTAGAATTTCGGGGGCATCAGGCTAGAGTAGCGCTGTTGCCACCTGGCTCAGACAGCTGCAGAAAAAGCAGTTTTTCACATAAATACTGTCCACTGATCTGCTAACTGATTTGTCCAGGCGCGTGATTCAGGGTTTTTATTGAAACATCCTCTTGTGCCCCTCAAACCTGTTTAAAACTCACGTCCTTCTCACAGGCTTTTCTCTCCATCTGTTGCTTAACATCCTTCGTCCCTTTGTTAATCTCTCCTTACGAACAGCTTCGGGGGTTTTCCTCGCCCACCATCCTGAAGAAACACCTGCTGGCTAGCTTGGTCGAGTATGGCAGATAAGTTTCCTGTTTGAACTCTGTTGACGAAAAATTGATTTCGTGTTCGATGTGTACAAACCCGCCGGCTGCTATTTGCTCAGCAAATCTGCTGTTTTAAACGATTAGTCTATGAGATGTAATATGCCCTGCATAACAGCCAGGGGCTGTTTAATGTCGTGTTCTGTGTCACAGCTGCTGAAAACAGTTAAATGGGTTTCGAATGAGCACACACGTGTCTGTTTGCGTAGAATCTGTAAGGGGACATGTTTGCACATTGGGGTGACTGGTTCTTCTCGTGCCTGGGGCCAGGGAGACGATTAGGTCTTTAAAAAAGCTGTTATCTAGTTCATTCTGCTTCAGAAAAACAAAAGCTTCTGACACTAGATCACACCCAGGCGTTCCTGCGTTCCTAATAGAATGTGAGAGACAGAGGCGGTGGCATAGAAGTTTCCTGCTGAAAAGAGCAACAAGTTATGGTAACGAACTGGTTCTGGGGCTTTCAGAGCCGAGGGTCTCTCCTCACTGGAGCCTGGATTCAAATGGCCGAGTGGTGTGGATGGAGGCCGGGCGTTTCTGTCAGAGCAGGAGTTGGGAATGTGTTCGTGGGGGCGGGCGGGAGCAGCGAATCTCAGTGGACATGGCTGTGGCTGAGATGGGAAAGCTGCCTTCGCCTCTCGGGTGAAGGGGCCGTGTCAAAGTTCTCCTGTTATCACAGCAGCGTCACACACTCCGGGGACTGATTGGAAGGTAATTGAGGAGCAGGAAGCACGGGGAAGGAGGGAAGGCAACGTCCCGGACTGCGCTGTCGGTCACGTATGGCTTTTCCTCCGGGCGCCCTACAGGCTGATAGGCCGACCTCATTAATTTCCATTCCGTGAGATAGAGAAGGAGACAGTAGGTCATTTTCTTGACTTCTCTCCTTCGCTTCTCTTGTCCTCCACTCTGACTCAGCTGTATATTTCCATGGTCACAGCCTCGGCCTTGCCATCAGCACTAACTCCTCCCTTCCTTGATCTCGGCCATAGGCGTCCACATCTTGGACGGCCACCTCCTATTTTCCGGCTCACTCCTCCGGGACCCCAGCCCCAGCAATCCTCCCGCCTGGTCGTTACCTACCAGTCATCAATTCCACTACCTTTCCCGTGTCTGACCCCTCTCGGCTCCCTGCTTTCCCAGCTCACATTCCAGGGTCACATGGTCATCACTCACCTGGCCTTCTCCCCTCTGTCACTGTCCTTTTATAAGACCCTGGGGAAGTCCACCTCTCACAGCAGAACATGGAGAAACGCACCCAACCTCGCTCACTGTTGTGAAAATTCATGACCACCGGGTGCAAGTTGGCCCTTTCATACCGTTTTCTCCGCTCCCTGCCTCCTCCCCCTTCCGGAGGGACGATGCCATGCCTTCTCCCTTGTCCGCGTCCAGTCAGGAGCTCCTCTCCCGTTCTCGCTTTCACCCACGATCTTGCTTGTGTTTTCCTGGGAAAATGAAAGAAGTGAGAGGAGAACTTCCATGTGCTCCCAGCAGCTCAGCGCTCTTTCCGCCCAGACTTGAAGCCGTACGCATGGCCCACGCCCCTGTGTGTGCTCCTGTCTAAGAACAACTCTGCCACCTGGGCCGCAGATGTACACCCCGCATCTTCTCGTCTACTGTGTCATTCCCGGTACAGCATAGAAACAGGCTATAGTCTTTCTCTTCTCAATATCCCTCCCTGTCTCGCCCTAGCCGGTGTGGCTCAGTGGGTAGAGTGTTGGCCCATGGACTAAAGGGTCCTGGGTTAGGTTCTGGTCAAGGACAAATACCTCGGTTGCAGGCTCCATCCTGGCCCTGTTGGGGCTCATGCGGGAGCCAACCAATCAATGTGTTTCTCTCACATCGATGTTTCTCTTTCTCTGTCTCTCCCTCTCCCTCCCACTCTCTCTAAAAATCAATGGAAAAATATTCTCGGATGAGGATTAAAAACAAAAATATCCCTCTCTTCACCCACCTACCACCCCATTTCTTTGTGTTTTTTTGTTTGTTTGTTTGTTTTTTCAGGGCAACTTAGGAAAAAGAGCTGTCTGCTCACCAGCTCCTTTCCTTGGTCAGGGCCTTGTTCCATAGGCCAGGGAGCAACATTGACATTGTACATGCAGGCCACACCACTCACTCAATATAGACGGTGTCCCTGGGGTGAGCAGCAGTCTCTTAAGTCAACTTCAGCCAAGCATTTGTCCTCCCTGCTCCCCCAGACGGCCCTGTGTGACGTCCCCAGTACCTGCCCTGTGACCAGCCTAGAGCTTCTGCTAGGGCGCATTTTCTTGCCATAGCAGTAGCACTTCCTAGTTGGTTACTCCCTGATCTTTAAAGCACTGTTACCTCTGAGCTGCTGGGCACCATCTCTCCTCACCTTCCTGACCTCCAGATAGCGGCGTGCCCAGGACCCAGTTTTCAGACCTTTCCTCTTCTTTTTAAAAAAAATATATTTTATTGATTTTTTACAGAGAGGAAGGGAGAGGGATAGAGAGTTAGAATATCGATGAGAGAGAAACATCGATCAGCTGCCTCCTGCACACCCCCTACTGGGGATGTGCCCACAACCAAGGTACATGCCCTTGACCGGAATCAAACCTGGGACCCTTCAGTCCGCAGGCCGACGCTCTATCCACTGCGCCACACCGGTCAGGGCCCTTTTCTCTTCTTGATCTACATTCACTCCCTAGGCGACCTCATCTAGTCTCATTACATTTAAAACCAACCAGCTGATGGATTCCGAATCTGGTACCTACTTCTTCCCTAAACCCACATGCATGTGCTTGACTGTCTGCCTGATGTGTCCTCCTGAATGCCAGTGGTCCTATCAGAACCAAAGTCTCTAGAACCAAACATTTCTTCTTTTGCCCCAAACTTAATTCTTCTGAAGAGGCGATTCTTCATTCTCTTTATCGTGCCGAAGGTGCCAGCTTATCATAGGCATTTAATTAATGTTTATGGGGGAAAAAATGAATGGAGACTCACAATTGTATTCATTTTGAAAGCTGATATTAGATGATTTTCTACAATCCCAAGAGAATCATGATTTTTGAAGAACATTTATTATGACTTGATCCAAACAACAAATACTTTTCTAAGAAAATGGTTATGGTTTGCTGATAGAGCGCTTTTACAGATTTACACATCAGGAGCCTGCACGCATGGCCTCCGAATTAGTACATGTTGGCAAGTAGTCTCCATGGCTGCAGACTTATCTGCGTCTTTCGCCTGCCCCTGTAGATATGAATGCCACGGTTCGAAGGATCGACCAGTTAACCAACATCTTGGCGCCCATGGCTGTTGGCCAGATTATGACCTTTGGCTCCGCGGTCATCGGCTGTGGCTTCATTTCTGGGTGGAATCTGGTGTCCATGTGCGTGGAGTACTTTCTGCTCTGGAAGGTTTACCAGAAGACCCCTGCATTAGCCGTGAAAGCCACTCTCAAAGTGGAGGAAGCTGAGCTGAAACAGCTGAATTTACACAAAGGTAAATCCAACACAACGATCAATCCTTTTACTCTGCTGTCCAGACCTTAAGTGTTGGGGAAGCCCAGACTGTTTTTAATTTATATCAGAGTTTGTTCCCCCCTGAAGGCCTGCATAAGGCTACACATGCCACTTTGGTGGGCGAGTCACCACCCAGGCTTTGGAGGGTCTGAGGAAGGACCCTCCGGGGGTTGGAATGGAACCCCTGGCCCTCTTCCTTCCTGAGCAGTAGACACAGAGGGGCAGCTCATTGAGGGGTGGCTGAGCAAAGTAGAGCCATAGGAATGGGAAGAAAGCTGAGAAGAGCAGAATTCCTAGGAGTTAGGCACCATGGAGGTGCTTTGTCGGACGGTGGAAGGGAGTGAGGACCTGAAGGTGGCTATTCCCCAAGAAGAGGAAGATGGGCTTCCAGACAATGGAGCCTGAACAGGTCCCCCAAATCCGATGCTTTGTTCGCCCCGACAACCACTGTGGCCTCCTAATGTCAGTGATCCTATCGGAACCAAAGTCTCTAGAATCAAACGTTTCTTCTTTTGCCCCAAACTGAGTTCTTCTGAGGAAGCGGTTCTCCGTTCTCTTTATGGTGCCGAAGGGGCCCAGCCCATCACAGGCATTCAGTTAGCGTTCAAATCTGTTGAGTTTTACTTCAGTGGGAGTTGAGTTTCAAAGAGAGCACGTGGATCGAAATCAACAGCGTTTTGTTTATGTAAGGCAGTTGCCACTGGGAGCTGGTTCCTCGGCTGTGATGCCCAGAGGAGTAGAAGAAAATGCCTCTTACACTGTAGTAGCCCAGGGCCCCCATGGGGGAGGGAAAGAGGAGAAGAAAGAATACTGAGTGAAATAACTGGCTCCCCCCCCCCACCACCACCCATGTCCTCTCCCCTCAGTAAACGATGTATTTTATTCGCAGAAACTGAGCCCAAACCCCTGGAGTCCACTCACCTGATGGGGGACAAAGACCCTGCGGTGCGTGCGCTGGAGCCGGAGCCCGAGCCCAGCTGCGGGGAGCAGCTGGCCGAGCCCTTCCGCACCTTCCGCGACGGCTGGGTCTCCTACTACCACCAGCCCGTGTTCCTGGCGGGCCTGGGCCTCGCCTTCCTCTACATGACGGTGCTGGGCTTCGACTGCATCACCACGGGCTACGCCTACACACAGGGCCTGAGCGGCTCGGTGCTCAGCCTCCTGATGGGCGCCTCGGCCGTCACCGGCATCGGGGGCACCGTGGCCTTCACGTGGCTGCGGCGCCGGTGCGGCCTGGTGCGCACCGGGCTCATCTCGGGGTGCGCGCAGCTCTCCTGCCTGGTGCTGTGCGTGGTGTCCGTGTTCATGCCGGGCAGCCCGCTGGACCTGTCCGTGTCCCCCTTCCAAGACATCCGCTCCAGGTTCATCCAGGCCGAGCCCCTGCCCGCGATGCCCACGGGCGCCCCCGGCCCCCTCTTCTCCACGGGCGGGCCCGCGGCCAACGGCTCCGTGACCACCCTCGCCGCCCCGGAGTGGGAGCTGGGGCTGAGCCCCGAGTCCGTCCTCTCCGTCAGCCTGCTGTTCGCGGGCGTCATTGCTGCTAGGATCGGTGAGTCCGCCTTGGGGTTGGGGGGTGGGGGGGCTCTGGCCTGCGGGGTTCAGGGGTTGAGCGTCGCCCCATGAACCGGGAGGTCACAGTTCGATTCCCGGTCAGGGCGCATGTCCGGGGTGTGGGCTCCATCCCCAGTGGGGGGTGCGTGCAGGAGGCAGGCGATCCATGATTCTCTCTCATCATGGATGTCACTCTCTCTCCCTCTCTTTTCTCCTCTGAAATCAGTAAAAAGACATATGAACACAAAATAAAGTGCCTGCAATAGGGGTTCAGAGAATTCACCAGTATTCCCTGAGTGTTAATATAAGCAGAATTCACTGTTCACCCTTATGTATAATAGTCTCTCATAATGGCATTTTTATAGTTCAAAAAAGTATATTCGTGCTTTTATAAAACGTGGTTAGAGCTTGAAAGTTTTTCCTAAATGGATATTTTAAGTATTGCTGTTGTAATGTTATTAATTAACTCCTAAAAAGAGATTAGCGATGATAATTATATTGCCTTTGGTAATTTAGAGTCTTTATGTGGCTATAACTCTCCCCATAGGACTATAATTTGGAGAATGTTTCTATGGTACAAGGCAAAAAGATAAGTATACAAGTTGGTGGGTGTTTTTGGTTTAAATTTTTTAAAAAGACGTGGCAGTTAGGAAAAAGAACCTTCCAAAAGTTCCTGTATTTATTATATACTTTGCCAAACAAATGGATTTTACAGCACTGGAAGGCAACCTAGTGTAAAGACTTCTTTTACAAAGCAAAATGTAAGTAATCATTAATAGAGTACTGAGGGATTATTCTGGAAATGAAACCGTATTTTTATCTTCTGGTACAAAGCAGTTTATTAATTTATCAGAGACATTAATATTCCGAGTGAGACAGCTTTATTGCAGGGGCTTTAGAACCCAAGCAGTAAAGGTAATAATGGTTTAACGTCTCCTTACACTCTAATCATGACAATATATAGGTCAGTTCATTTAAACTTGAAAAATACCAGCACAGTCATGTGCTGCTTAACGAGGCGGAAACGTGCTGAGAAGTGTGTCGGGAGGCGGTTTGGTTGTGAGAGCACGAAGGAGCGCCTTACACAAACCTCATGGCATGGCCTACTGTCCACCAGGCCGATGGCACAGCCTGTGAGTCTTGGCCTCCAAGCCTGCCCAGCTCGCTCCTGTGCAAAACACCAGATTAAATCAAGCACCAGAGAAATGATGCAACCAGGAGACGCGGTAACTTGAGACGGATGAGGCTGCTGCCAGCCTAACATGACACACCATCTCACAGCAAACTTTTATTTTTTATCTTTTTTATTGATTTCAGAGAGGAAGGGAGAGGGAGGGAGAGAGAGAAACATCAATGATGACAGAGAATAATTGATTGGCTGCCTCCTGCACGCCCCCTACTGGGGATCCAGGAGGGAACCCAACCGTGACTTCCTGGTTCATAGGTCTAGCGACGCTCAAGCCACTGAACCACACCGTTTGGGCAAACTTTTTTTTATTAAGAAGTAGAAAGAGAACATTTTAAAATAAGGAGAAAAGGTTGGTATAGTAAATACATAAACCAATAACATAGTCAGGTATTATCATTATCAAGTATTATGTACTGGGTGTAACTGAACGTGCTATATTTTCTACATCCGTCGGTGCAGTGGGTGTGTTTACACCAGCATCATCCAAACGTGCAACACATCTCGCTAGCATGTCACCATGGCTATGATGTCACCAGGCAATAGGAATTTTTCAGCTCTAGTAGAACCTTGCGGGGCCACCATTGAATATGTGGTTTGTCATTGACCATAACATCATTGTTTGGCACATGACTGTACTTACGATGGAATTATGTCTGTGATTTCAGAGCTTTGCTTTCATAGTATGAATAATCACAGAGAAACATAATTAAGAAGTTTGTAGGTCAGGTGGCTGTAAATATCATTTCTTAGAGCCACTGGTAACCCAGTACTATTTCTTAATGAAAAATAACTCTCTAAGGCAAGGCTATGATCAATATACATATGGTGGCTTTAAAGTAATGGGGCTAACGTGACTTTTTCACGTGTCGACAGATTTTCAACCTATAAATCTGAAATATATGGCTATAAATTCTAGAGATTGACCGTTTCTAAAAAAGATATTCTTCATTACAGGCCTTTGGTCCTTCGATTTAACTGTGACACAGTTGCTGCAAGAAAATGTAATAGAGTCAGAAAGAGGCATTATAAACGGTGTCCAGAACTCCATGAACTACCTTCTCGACCTCCTGCACTTCATCATGGTGATCCTGGCCCCCAACCCGGAGGCCTTCGGCCTGCTCGTGCTCATCTCCGTCTCCTTCGTGGCCATGGGCCACATCATGTATTTCCGGTTTGCCCAGAAGACCCTGGGCAACAAGCTTTTCGCCTGTGGTCCTGTCGAAAAGGACGTTGCGAGCGAAGACCAAGCTTCCACGTCTGCTGTGTGAGCCCGTCTCGCCGGCTGGTCCCTGTTACTAGGTTACACAGAGCGCGTGCTTGTTTGTGCTTCACATCCCCTACGTGGCTGGGTGTCCCTCTGGTTTTACCACAACGGTGTCCTGAAGGCTAAACGCTGTTTCCGAAACCTCAGTCAAGTGAGTGAACTGGTTGGCTTCCCTTCCATTCCAGGATGGGAAAAAGTAGGAAAGGAAAAAGCCTAAAGATAGAGACTAAAATGGCACATACACTGATTTTCCCCTGTTTCTACCGAGTAGAGAAAATTTTCCATAAAAGAGTGGTGAGTCGGGTGAATTAAGTTAATTTTTGGCAGATATTTATTCTCTGTAGTAGAATTCAGATGTCAGTTTGCCCTAAGACTCACTCTCGTTCAATCCGGCTAATTCCTTTATAAAAACCAGTTCTCCTCCGAGCAGGAAGACTGCTCCGAGCAGGAAGACTGAAGTTTCATAACCAGTATTATCCTCATTGATCCTGACAAATCTTAAGGGATTTATATAAATGTGGAAAACAACATATTTCAGTAGAATTCTCTAACAGGGTTATGGTTGAACTCGAGAGAGCACCTTGGTATTTGTATTATCAGAGAGGGCAACATACCGTATTAACCTACACAGCACTCTGTAAAATGCTAATACGCTGCAGGTAGAAGCAACGCTGCGCAGTAGATTTTAACACTGAATGCATACTGACTTCCAACGCCAACAGTCTGGCCACAGAAACTCGCACCGAAGGGCCAAGATCTGGAGGTAACTCCCGCCACCCTCACTGACGGCCTCTCTCAGCCGCGGAGGGAGTCTGCTTGCTGCCCGCAGGTTGAATGGGAAAGCAGGCCCACACCGGGAAAGGGTTTGTGTTGTCGATCATGTGACTTGTTAGGAGCACGCTGGGGTGGAGCATTTTCCACTTGATTGTTTGTACCCAGGAGCTATTTTTACCCAGTCGCAGAGCAAGACTGTCCCTAAATGAATTCCTTTCAAATGTCTCTGAGAAGCAGGGGGGGAGAGGGGGAGAGGGGGCGGGAGACGTTTGTATATAGTTTTAAGAACTGTTTGGCGAGTCCTTTTGCAACATGCCAGTACCAGCAGGCCCTCTGCCTTAACGTTTATGCACTTTCGTGGAGACGGCAATACGTCACGATGAGCACTTTCCTAATCCTTGAGGTCGAGTCTTTTTCTTCTTTCTATGGTATGTCATGATTTGCTACGTTGTATAATCTTTGTAAAATATTTCTATATAAAACTATTTTTAAAATCTTGATGGCTTTGGCCTCAGTTGTGTTCTTTAGTTTTTTAAAACAATTTATTTTGTCACCGGTCCTCTGTTTTGATCGTGTGTTTGGTTCTCTGAGAAGGGCTACTGCCTCATGGTGACCGTCATGGCAGTGTCGCTCCAGTGGCGGGTGGCCGGGGAAGACTAGTGAGCACGAGGCCCGGCCCCCTTGCTTGGACCGGGAGGAACCGCATGAAGCTCCGAGTTCTCTGTTCTCCGTGAACTGGGGGTAGAAGCATAAAGCCAGCTCTGCCCACCTCCCCGCCGTCCTGGTGGAGTCAAATCCTACAGAAGCACTTTGGGGACTGGAAGACGGGGTAGTCTCCTATCACTAGAAGTGGAGCCTAACTCATGACAGCTGAAACAGATTCCACCCGGCCGGCGTGGCTCAGGGGTTGAGCATGGGCCTATGAACCAGGAGGTCACGGTTTGATTCCCGGCCAGGGTACATGCCTGGGTTTCGGGCTCGATCCTCAGTAGGGGGCGTGCAGGAGGCAGCCGATCCATGATTCTCATCATTGATATTTCTCTCTCCCTTCCTCTCTGAAATCAATAAAAACATATTAAAAATAAAAAGATTCCTGCTGATCGTCCCGAGAGTAGAGCCACAGTCTATACTCAACACATGTTTACTGATGGGCGCCCCCATGTACTGGTCCTGGGGTGCAGTTGTGACTCACACAGGATCAGAGGCGCCTTTTCTTCCCCCTAAATTGGGAGCTTGGGAACCTGTGGCCTCACCCCGCAGCTACTGATCTGCGCGTGACTTCTGAACAGACTGCAGAGGCCTCGTTGGGCTGGCTGCTGCCTGGAACCGGTCCCTGACTCTCCCAGGGGGCGGAGCCGGGGCTGGAGATCTGCCCTGAGTGTTTGCAGCTGTGGCTGAGGGCCTGTGACCTTGTGAAATGAATAGGAACATGTGAGCCAAGGAAAGGCTCAGCTCCTCACTCCGGCCTCTTGCCAGGCTGCGGGCTGGGGGAGAGAGGGCCTGTGTGGGAGGAAGGAGCGTGACGTTGCAGAGTTAAGAGGAGTGTTTACAGCTGCCCCCTTCTCTTCGCGGAGGGAGTGCGTTCAGGGCAGGAAGAGGAGCTGCTGGGCTGGGCGTTCAGGGCAGGAAGAGGAGCTGCTGGGCTGGGCGGCTTTTGCTGCTGATCCTCAAGGGCACAGAGGAGGCTGGGGTAGGGGATGAGGTGGGCATCTCTCTGGTGTGTTTCTAAATGGCAGCATGAACTCATACATGGAAGGCCAATCAGCCAATGCAAACGAGCGGAGTAGGTTAGAGGCAGGAGGGCAGTCTTCGTTAACACGTCAGCGCATTTCACAAAAGTGTCACATTTAAGTGTTTCCACTTAAAAGCAAATTCCTCACTTTAAAAAAATATATTTTTACTGATTTCAGAGAGGAAGGGAGGAAGAGAGGAAACATCAATGATGAGAGAGAATCATGGACCGGCTGCCTCCTGCAGGCCCCCCACTGGGGATCCAGCTCACAACCTGGGCCTGTGCCCTGACCGGGAATCAAACCATGACCTTCTGGTTCATAGGTCCAGGCTCAACCACTGAGCCACGCCGGCCGGGCCCTCACTTTTTTTTTCATGTTTTTTACTATTCCATGCTGACTTCTTACTGTGGTTATTCAGCTATTTCAACATGGACATCCTTTGTTTGCCTACCAAACACAGGAACGCTAGCTATATTCACTTCCATAAGGAAATATGCATTACCCCCCCCCCCTTTTTTTCTTGAAACCTTTGGCTTCCTTGATATTCCTTTTGTTACTGAGCCCCCTTTATTAAAAAAGGGAATATAAGGGTGTAAGTAAGAAATTACTTTCCTACTCACCATAAGACAAACAGCAATGCCCAAGGGGCTGTTGGGGAGGCAGAGTGTGGGCAGAGCTGTGGTGAGCAGGAGGGCAGGCACCAGGCTAAGAGACCGCCCGCAGCAATCCCAGCTGCCAGGCAGGAATGTGGGCCCTGTGTCCGCAGATCTTTTGATCTTTCAAGAGAGTGATTGAACGTAGACGCATGAACCAGGAGGTCACGGTTCAATTCCCGGTCAGGGCACTTGCCTGGGTTGCTGACTTGATCCCCAGTATTGGGCGTGCAGGAGGCAGCCAATCAATGATTCTCTCTCATCACTGATGTTTCTATCTCTCTCCCTCCCTCTCTAAAATCAATAAAAAAATATATTTAAAAAACAACAACAAGAGAAGCTGAGAATCTTGAGTTTGGTGTTAAATCTCAAAATTTTAAATACTGGCAACTAATTTGAAAATGCTTTTCTAGTCAAATAAAAATCCATCTGTGGACTACCCGCGAGTCACCCTTGAGCTGCCATTTTTTTTTTTTTTTTTTAGCTTTTCTCTAAGAGATTGGTTTGTGAACAAGAGAATGGTATTTGAATAAACTGTAGGAAAAGAGGAGATATATATATGCAAAAATTGTGGAGTATAGCAAACAAGAAAAAACGAGGCAAACACATGTTTGTAGTAAAAAATGTTAAACTATCGGGCATTTAAAAATAAAAAAATCGATGGCATATTGATGTCAGTGAGAATTCTGCCCCATACTAGCTCCTTGTTCTGTGTGTTGTTTGCACTGATGGGTTAAAGGATAATGATTATTTATTAAAAAGGTTAATGATTCTTTAACTTAAAACACACACCAATGTTTAAAGCTGTCTGAATTATAAGTATAGTGTGCTCCTGTTTTAACAAAGAACGCACAGAATTTTAAATTGTCTGGATCCGGGCTTCCCACCCACTCCCTCAATTCTCAGAAGTCCTCACTGTGAGCCGTTGAATGTATCTTTATGGATAATCTCTCCTAAATGAAGTTACAAGAAATAACTTTACAGTCTCACTTGGTTTGTTTACCAAGATTATATTGATACCTATCTGTACCTGTCGACTAACCAATCAATATATATTTTCCCCCCAGAATTCTGAGGGTTAAAGTTATGTTTGCATTAAGACTCTTGTTATAGTAATTAAAATAAAAAATATATATAGAACAGGGTAATTAAAAACTTTGAAAACATAGAAGTAGGCATACACATTACCTAGTCTAATGTGTTGATTCTGACAGAAATAAATTTAGTCTGAGATTCCTTTCAACCGAGACTAACGACTCCTGAGTTTTGCCTTTTTCCTCCCAAATGACACTTACTGAAAACCCGTTTCCAGTTAAATATTGCTTCTTTTTGAATAGTGCCTCTTTTTCTCGTTTGATCTGCCTTTCAGAAAAATCTCTGCTATCACAACACTTTGTTTTGTTTTGTTTTACAAAACAGCAATTCAAAGAAGAGAGTCCAGACGTTAGAAGAACCTCGTGACGCTTATCACGAACCAGCCTGGCCTGGCGACATGAAGCCATAACTGGAAGGTTAAGTGACTTTTTGCCTTGTATGGGGATGTGTTTACATTTTCCAAGTCCAAAAGGGAGCAAATATTTTATCTAAAGAGCGAACGGAGAGGAGTTCAAAGTACAGGTAAGCGCTTCCCTCCATGGTCTTCACCGGCCTCTGGCTGAGCGCGTGCACCGTTTCCTATTTGACACGTTCCTTACTGCATGGACCGCAGGGATGGGCCCCTGGGGGCCCTGGGTGAGCGGCCGTCCTGCCCCGTGTGAGCAGAGCAGCGAGGACAGCCCAGGCGCTAGCGGAATGCAATTCCCTGAAGGTGGAGGCGGGTAACTGTTTTATAGGAACCAAAACACCTCGGGAGAGACAGATGTTTTGCAGAACTCAGTTTCAGAGATCTTACAGTAAATAACTCCTAATAAGTAGGACTTGGTCACATGGTAAATTATACCGAAAGGAACACTTGAACTTGGTGTATGTATATTCCAAAAGGAATGGTGGTTCACTGATAGGCTGATGTAACTTCTATTGAGGGCAATGTATTGACCAAATAGATACAGATCTTCTTATCTATTTGTTCTAAAGTATTTAAGTAAAAGACATGACATGGAATGGAACTAACATTTAAACATCTTTTACTTCACTTAATCCTCATCATAACAGAAATACATTATATGCGCGTCATAGGTGAGGAGTCTTAGAACAAGTGTCCTGAGCTTACACAGCTGGAAGTGGCAGATTCCAAACCCATTCCTGCCTCTCCTCAAAGGCTGTCTTCTCTCCT